GCGATGCGCACCCCTCTAGATTATGACCACTGATACGTACTAATACTCGTGGACGAAACAGCGGAAACAACCAACTCATCACTTCTCATTTATTCTCTCATTGCTTTTGGATCACGCCGCATGCCGTCTTMATTTTGAACGTCGTCAAAGACGGTCAGAGTTCGTACCGGTAGTACCTAACCCCTTCACGAAGATTTCATCTTCAATTGCATATGCACCAWAGATCCACAGTGCGTCGATCGGAAGAYTAGCCTGATTCGACTACGGCTGGAAAACGTCGAAACTGTCGACGAAAACTTCAGGAACACCCGCACGTAGAGGCCATAACAAACGTCATCGCAATGGTAAAAGGGCGACAGGGACTCTACCTGGAGGCATGGAAATTCGGAGTTTATGTTTCTATCCCAGTGATCGCATCTGTATATTTTTCTGACCCCCAGACAATTAAAAAACAAGCAGACTATTGGAGATTTATCGAATACCCGGAGAACCCGAACACAAACGTGAGACAAAAAATACAAGAATTGGCGAAAGAGAAAGAGGTACAAAGGGAACAGCGACTGGCGTATCAACGGCAGCTGCAAGAGCTTCAACGTGCTGCTGATCGATCTTTTTCTACAAATTTCGACGACGACGATAACCAATCGGGTGGCACGTCAGAGAAGAGGAGATCTTGGTGGAGACRATGGTTTGGTGGCATATGAACTGGAAACCGTGATTCTTCCCAATCTTCAACTTGAGTTGCATGCGCTTCCTGAAGTAACAATGCCATACAATTTAAGTGCGGCGCTACTGTTAACTAAAAAGTACACGGAAAAGATTGTGACAGAGAGAAGAAACTGTCATGTATGTTCTGTTCATTTGATAGCTCAAACAATCAGGAATCTAACGAGTGTTGGGACGTTTTACTTCTTCTTTCACTTGAAATCTTTTCAACTGGTTCGAAACTTCGTTCTGTCTACTGTTGATTGGAGTCGTTTTGTCCATAGGAGGATTATCATGTTATCTACTGATGATACTATTAGTACCGTACTAATAGATTAAACTGCAATTTT